GCACTGCAAGAGCGCTCACAGCTTGAGCCGCAGTTTGCATATATTCGGAGGCGAGGGGTGCGAGATGCCATTGCAAAAGCGTGTCAGCATCTGGATCTCGTGCAGGAAATGCGCCAAGAGCATCGCCGGGATATGCACAAGGCACAGCAAGGTCAGAGAAGGCTCCCATTGGCAGGGGCCTTAACAGTCTCCGTCGATCTGAGCAAAGCCTTTGACTCTGTCAACAGACAAGAGTTGCTTGAAGCCTTAGACAAGCTCAACATAGATCAAACCACTAAGGACTTTGTTGTACAACTCCACTCCTGTACATCGTACAACATGGGCACTAATGGGCTTGAGTTCAGTGTTCCTACTTCTTCGGGAATAAAACAGGGATGTAAATTAGCTCCTGCATTGTGGTCTGCCTTAACCTTGCTAGTCATGGACAGGATGGAGAAGAAGTGGGGGCCTGGCAGCAGTCAGGCAAGAGATATACTCACTGTCTTCGCTGACGATTTTCTCCATCAGGAAACTTTTACAAGCTTTGCCGAACTGCAGCAGGTACTCACTCGGCTTGAAGCTTTGTTTCAATCCCTCGAGGAAGTCGGCCTTGAAGTCAATCCAGCGAAATCCAAGGCACTGCTCATGGTGCAAGGCACTCAGCAACCCCTCTTCCGCAAGCAATACACCAAACGATTAAAAAATCAGCTCCATTTGGTTCTTCCCTCGGGGCATCAGATTCCGATTCATCATCAGCTGACCTATCTAGGAGTGCAACTAAGCTATGGTGCTTACAAGGATCAAACAGTAGACTACAGGATTTCTCAAGCCCAAGGCAAATTTGAGCTCCTTAGGAGTATCTTGTGCACGACGAAGGCCCTTGACGAGGCGAAGAAACTAGAGATCTGGCGAGTGTATGTCGAGTCTTCGCTCTTGCATGGCATAGTCTCCACGGGAATCACCCACACGGGACTGCAAAAGCTCCAGAGCAAATATTCTCGGATGCTCAGATCTATCTTTCAGCAGCATCAGCATTTTAGTCGAATGGAAACCACAGAGCTGTTTGAGCACCACAAGATCCAAACTCCTCAGGAAGTTCTTCTCAGGCAAATGAGGAACTATCAGGATGCGATGGATGCTGCCAAGCCAACAGGCAACTTACAAACGATCCAAGAGTACCTGGGTCTACGCAGCCGGCTGATTAGCTGATTAGCCAACAGCAGCTACTTCAATCCATGCAATTGGCTCTGGCCGAAGAAGATCATGCAGTGCCCTGTTCGCTATGTGATAGAAGTTTCTCTAGCAACAAGGGATTGCAGCATCATACACTAGTGAAGCATGGAGGCCAAAGAGCAAACCAGTTGGGCCCTAAATTCCAAGTCTTCGCACATAGTCTGCAGGGACTCCCGCAATGTGCAGCATGTCACAAACAGCTGCGCACAATGCATCAGCTTCGCAGACATGTTGAATCGGGAACATGTTCAAAGCTTCCAGAGCTGAGGGAGCGATCATCGTCCTGCTCAGGAGCGGAGAGCACAGCCTTGCTGCTCCAACCAAGTGTTCAGGATCAATTAAAAAGAGACCCTGACCTGCTTCTCAAAAAGGCTCATGTGACCAAGCACTTGCGGGCTTACTGCAGCCTCTGTGGGCAGTTCATTGTCGGTCACAAGGGCGTCAAACAGCACATTCAGAAAGCGCACCAGGCTTTCTGGGCAGGGGCCTCAGACTCAGTCACTGACTCAGTCTATGCCAACATGCGCACACATAAGAGACTGCTTCATAAAAAGGAGGAATGCAGATATTGTGGAATGATGGTTGACGCTCCGGTTCGCCACGCGGACCAGTGTGTAGTCCTGCTGCAGGTCTATGCCATGAGTGCAGCAATAAAAAAGTCTACCGACCCACACATAGAATATGGCACTGTGACGTCGGAACTTGGGATTCGTGCGCAGGAGGGTTCCTCCCAGGAGGCTTCCTCCACCAGTAGGATTCGGTCTCACCAGGCACCAGCAAGCTCCCAGCGAGACGCATCAGCAGAGGGGAGACCTTCGTCAGTGCCCGTCACAGCCTGGTCTCTGGCCTATCATAATCCGCATCAACTGTGCTATGCACACACAGTAGTGCATATCCTTGCCTCGCTTGCATCAGAGGGTATTCTTTCTGATCCATATCTGAGACAAATATTGACGGAAATTGACGCAGTAGGGGGTCGTTCTTCTAGTGTGGATGTTCGTAGGCTGCGACAGCTACGTCCTCTGCTGACGGGATGGCGATTCAGACCCAGGCAAGAAGATGCATCCCAATTTCTAGCACATATCATTCAGAGATCCCAAGTGCTTTCAGCAGATGTTTGGGAAGCGAGGGTTCAAATCACAGCACCCGTGGAAAGAATCAGCGTAGAGGATAGAGCGGGTTTGATTCTTTTCTTGCCTGACCCACCAGATGGCCTCTCCACACTACAGCAAGCCATTTCTCAGTGGGCGCACAGGGGGAGCACCTATGGGCTACTCCCGGGAGTGAACCTGGTTTGCATTCAGATCCAAAGGTTTGAGCACTTGGAGAAAACAAATCGGCCTCAAGTTTTAGACACAACTCTGGAGCTTCCAGAGTTTATAGATAATGGCATGACAACCGCTGTGGTCAGCTTTCGACTATATGCATTCATCATTCATCTAGGAGATGATTGGAGATCTGGGCATTATAGGACAGGTTTTTTGAGAGAAGAAGTGGCGTATCTCGCAGATGATGACCGCTCACCACGGCGAACTACGCTCCTCTCGGATCAAATTTGCCAGGGATCGTATTTGGCTTTCTACGTAAGGGTCTAGCTCGCTCTACCTTCGCATGCGGAGGTTTCCTCCGGAGGCTTCCTCCGCAGCAGTGTTCTTTCTTCTTAACGTAGACCTATCTGCCTGCTGTTGCCTAAGGCAACTCGGCATGAACGCTGCCCTGCGCGCAATAAAGCCATGATCTCGTGCTAAGATGTATAGTCTCTTGCGTGAAACTTCCACATGCGGAGGTTTCCTCCGGAGGCTTCCTCCCCGGTAGTGTTTCTCACAGTAGACCGTTCTGCCTGCTGTAGCTTAAGGCCAAGCTGACCCATTCTTGTCCCTGAACCTGAAGCATCTGAAAGAGCCCTGCGCGCACTTCAGAACATGTGAGGTCTCCTCCAGGTCGGTGGGTTCAGCTTAGGGTCACTTTTCGGATGCAACCTTGCCTTGTCGCAGCGCTGGCCCCGAGAGCCGTGCAAGGTGTCCCAGGTCAGGTGCTTCCCTCTTCGCAAAGTACTCGTGCCTATGTGAGACCTCCTCGTTAAGTTCGGTCAGTTGGGGTCACATTTTCTCGACCAGGAATGCAATTTTGCCCTGTCGCAGCGCTGGCCCCAGGAGCCGCGCAAGGCGTCCCAGGTCAGGCTTCGCAAACTTAGCTACCCTGCCTCCAACTTGGGCATCCTTCTTGGAACGTGCAAGGCCGCCTTGGTGCGCTCTGCCTACGGCCCTCTGCCAGTTGTTTAGCGTTACCTGTGTGAGACGTCACTAGACAGGAACGCTGAGTGTCGGCCTCACCAGAGGTACGGCTCGCTAAACAGCTGGTGCGTGGGTGCTGGACGCAGTGACTCACAGTAGGGTGTCGGGGTAGCCGCGCTTATTTTTCACTCTTTTGCAGTGCTGAGTACTTGATATCGGAGGCTGCCTCCGTGCCAACTTCAATTTCTTCATTGATTCATTGCATCAGATTAGGAGGTTTCCTCCTGAATATCCTTAAGTACTCTGCCAAAGCAGATTCAGTATAGCAGGTAGTGAGATCTGGCAATCTGGAGGAAGCGATCTTCTCGAAGTCCAAAAGGCCGGACTGTGAAATAACAAAGGCGGGTGAGACCTTCTATATCACACTTGCCCGCCTTAATCACACCAAACTCAGCTAGCGCACAGCTCTAGCCTGCAACACAACATCGGGGCCAGCCGGCACTGCAGCAGTCGCGGGTGCAGGTGAGCCAGTAGGAAGCGGTCGTAGGGTGCCCAGCCAGCACAGCGCTATCGCAGCCCTGAGGGGCGGATGCATTCCACATACTCGAACATAGCTGTGCACAACAATCCTTTCAGCAGCACTGAGGGGCGTGAAGTACGAACTAGCAAAGACTGCTGGAGCTCCCAAGGCGGATACAGAGTAGCCGACGTGCCGAGGATCCAAAGTGATCAGAGGTCCACATGCTGATTCTGGCAGTGAGTGCAATGCAAAAATGTGTTGTTGTGTTGTTGTTGTTGTTGTTGTTGTTGTTGTTGTTGTTGTTGTTGTTGTTGTGTTGTTGTGGTTGTTGTTGTTGTTGTTGTTGTTGTTGTCGTCGTCGTCGTTGTTGTTGTTGTTGTCGTCGTTGTCGTTGTTGTTGTTGTGTTGTTGTGTTGTTGTTGTTTGTGTTGTTGTGTGTGTTGTTGTTGTTGTTGTTGTTGTTGGTGTTGTGTTGTTGTGTTGTTGTTGTGTTGTTTGTGTTGTTGTGTTGTGGTGTGTTGTTGTTGTTGTGGTTGTGTTGTGTGGAGTTGTTGTTGTTGTTGGTTGTTGTGTTTGTTGTTGTTGTTGTTGTGTGTTGTTGTTGTTGTTGTTGTTGTTGGTTGTTTGTTGTGTTGTTGTTGTTGTGTTGGTGTGTTTTGTGGTTGTTGTTGTTGTTGTTGATTGTTGTTTTGTGTTGGTTTGTTGTTTGTGTTGTTGTTGTGGTTAGTTGTGGTTGTGGTTGTGGTTGTGGTTGTTGTTTGTGGTTGTGGTTGTTGTTTGTCATTGTTGTTGTTGTTGTTGTTGTTGTTGTTGTTGTTGTTGTTGTTGTTGTTGTTGTTGTTGTTGTTGTTGTTGTTGTTGTTGTTGTTGTTGTTGGTGGTGGTGCTGTTGGTGTTGCTAGCAGTGGTGGTGGTGGTGGTGGTGGTGGTGGTGCTGCTGCTGCTGCGTTGTGGCTTTCTAAGACTCTAAGAGTTGAAATGCAGACACCGCTTTTCGCGTGGATGCTGCTGCTCGCCGCTAGCTCGATTTGTCAGGAGCTGGCAGACGGCTTAGAGTGCGACTACTTCTACAACATGGCGCAGTGCAGCATCCCAAACCTCGCAGCGCTGACGCATGGCCGAAATGGTACGTCCGGTACGTCTCTCGCGTTCGCCCACTTGTGTCGCTTCGTTATCGCCTTGCCCCATCGGAAAGGACACCGGCACACAGCAAGATTGTGAAACAGATCGACCAGGACCTGGGGTTGAAGTTCGGATCCAACCTTAGTAACTAGGTCAAGACTGACAGAGACGAGCTGGCTCAAATTAATGGTCGCTGCATCTGCTGTTTCCTGCAGGGGCTCCACGGATGGGGCAACCTCGGCTCACGACAAGGGGATAATTTCTGCATGAGGCCATCGGCAGCAGTTTTGCAAGTGTACAACAGCAACAACTACTACTACCACCGCCACCACCCACCATTACTTTAACTGCTATACTACTGCTACTGCTACTGCTACTGCTACTGCTACTGCTACTGCTACTGCTACTGCTACTGCTACTGCTACTGCTACTGCTACTACTACGACGACGACGACGACGACTACTACTACTAC